GAATAATTGAAATAAATTTAATAATAATAAGTTTAATAATTGAAATAAAGTAACTTATAATAATAAAAGAGAGAGGCAGATAGGAATAGAACCCAGGAAGAACAAGTGATGCACAATAAAGTTGTTCACCACCTGGTGACCAATGCCCACCTCGTCCACCCACGGCAATCAGCACCCTCCTGGTCAACTCCCCCTAAGTTTATGTACTGGCTGTGACTCTCTATGGCACGAAATGCCCCTTTGGCCATTCCAGGTCAGCACTCCTGGCCATGCTCCCTTCCAGCTTTTTGGGCACCTCCTCTCTGGCAGATCACAGGAAACTGAAAGTCCTGTATTTCCAGTAAGCACTACAGAGCAAGAACTGAAACATGAACATGTTACCAACACTATTCTCACAAAACACAGCACTGGACCAGCTACTAGAAAAACTATTAACCCTATCCTAGCTGGAAATATGACATGTAAAGTTATTACCTTGCATGTGTTGTATCAATAGAAGTGTGACAAACTAGAGTGACTATCCACTTTTTTAACAAGACCCTTTTGTACTCATATTTAGCCCATAGTTCGCTGTAGTCACCCAGGTTTTTTACTGCAGTGTTACTGTCAAGAAATTATTCCATGTCATGTTGTAACTAGTATATTGGCATATACTATGCTGCAGTTCTTAATTCAGCAAGAATATTTTAATTTCATTCAGCAAAACCAGTAATCTTCATTGACATCTAACACTGACATTAATTGTGACTAGATAAAACACACCAAAGTAGATGATTTCAAGAAATGCACATAGACCATGCCCTCTAATGATTGTTAGGTATAACAGCTGTCAGTCCAAGATTCTAGGCAGTTAATATTTGTCTTACAGGTGACTCCAAAATGCAAACTAATATTGCCACTAGCCAAGAATTTATTTTTCTCAGTTTAAGGAAAGACAACTGCTATGTTGGTATCCAAAGGTCCCTATAACTAACTTCACTTCTGTGAGTGAGGAAATGAATGACTAATTGAAGTCTATGATTGGGATTTTTTTCCTGTCAAATTGCAAGCTTTTTTAGAGAATGATGGTGCAAGGGTTGAAACTCAGATTGATTGAGACTGATTTGACAAAATTCCATTATTACGTAGTTTTTTTCATTACAGTGATCTAAATGCATGGCTAAGTAGGTTTGTTTTTGTAATTAATCAGATTTAGTATTAAATTTTTGATGACTTGTCAGTTCCATTTCATCCCCAAAAGAATTCAGGAAGGGGTTTTGTCTTGCAATCATTTTGTCCATGTCTCTTGATTATATCTTACACTTCACTGTGCTTTGCTGTGTTACTGCTCAATTCCAGATGGTATATATTTTTGGCCATACATTGCATGCAGAAAAACTTGATTTTTCAAATTATCTTTCATATGTTGATGTTTTTTGGTATTACACAATCCTCTTATTGTGTTTACTGATAACATTTTTACATGTCCTTACTGTGCCCTAGTTTTGTCCGGGTAGAAATCTTGGCTACTTTGGTAAAAACTCTTAGGTTTGGAAACTCTTAAACTTGGAAAACTTCCTTTCTTTATTTGTCAGAGAGTCCTGAAACTGTTTCCATCAGCTTACAAGCCAAAACCTTTCCTGTAATTACTTAATGAGATTGTGAGTTGTGATATCTTTGATTGATTTCCATGGCTGTGCCCATCAGCAAGTGCAAATGTAGTGCAGTAGGAACAGTTTGGTAGACTGCAGGAACAGCTGCTGAGACTGACAGCTACACTCTGAGCAGTTTGAGCAGACCGAGTTCATAGCAAGCCTGTTTCGTCCCTTGGAATGTGTGTCCCTGACAGGCATCCAGCTGTTAGGGTCCGGGTGTAGGCTTGTACCATTAGGGCTTTTCTAGGGATTGGTGAATGTTTAGTATAGAGAGAAAGCAGAGCTTCTATTTCAGTTGGTTTTAGAAGGCACCTAGTATTCACAAAACACAGTCTGCTCTGTGGACTGGATCAACACAGGGTAAGCAGCAGCAGAGAATTCACCCTGGGAATCAACAGCTTGTTCTGAACCAGAACACTAATGTGAACACAGGTGATAGGATTCTTATTTTTCAAATGCTCTTTAAGTTTCCTGGAAAGATTATTCCTAGAGGTGAATTTGCATGATTTCCAGCATTTTGCCAAACCAAGTTTTGGCAGAACTGGGAGCTGAAACATTAAAATCTCTAGACTATGTTGCCTCAGCCCTTGCATTACATTGCAGTATGCCTGTGGAGAATATGTCCTCCTTTGGCTTTAGAAATTTATAGGTGCTTTTTTGTCTATTTTTGACTTTGCTGCCAGCAAATAAACAGAAGAGAGGGATGATGCAGACTGTTTCTAGAAGAAAATGCAAGAATAAAGAAAACCACAAACAAAACTGTGTGGGAGAGAGTACTAGTTGACAAGAAGCAATAGAAATAAATGGATCAAAGACAACAGACCTTGAAAGGCTAGTTAAAGAAAACACTTAAGGACAAATCATCTCTTCCCTTCTATCCATGATTTCAGATCCTACTTCGAAAAATCTCAATAATGTATTTTCTTCCTTAAATAAGAGGAATGTTGTCACCTATTTTCATAAGAGCCCTACTGGCTTTAGATAGGTGTACCTGAGAGAACAAGACTTTCTCAGTATCTGGTATGATTTACATTTAATTTAGCCCACTGTGATTACTCCGGTACACTGGAATTTCCTCAGTTTTCTTCTGTCTTCCTGCACATCCTAATCCACACTGGATTAGGGCCATGGAGGTTTACAAATGTATACCTGTTAAAACCTTTTTAAAAATCACCCAGTAACATTATTGCAATTCTTCTTTTCAGATTTATGAGGGAACTGCTCAGATTCAAAGGATGATCATAGCTCGTGAACATGTTGGCAAATTTAAGGCTTAAAGAAATGTATAAAGTGTGTCTGGTGCTGCTGTAGTGTTCTGTGTTCTTATGGAAGAAGATTTTAGTGTATTTCTCAATAGAATTAAAAAGAGATAAAATTCCTTCATAATATTTTTATTCTGTTCATTATTAAGCACTGATTCTGTTCTCAGTATAAAATAAGATAATCAGAATGTAATTTTTGACAGTCAATGCTGCATTTCAATAAAATATTTTTAAGAGAAGTGTGGTTGGTTTGTATTAATTTTGCTTGTCATATCACACTTTCACTGGACAACTAACCCAAAATACTATTTCTGAAGTACAATAATTGCTGTATTTCAGTTTCTCTATGCTCTTGCCCCAAGCAGCTGAACAGCCATTCCAGTTGAGCAGCAGGAAAGCCTGCATTGCTACTGTCTGTGTGTGTCTGTGCTGGGGATTTATATACTAGTCAGATTCTGGCCTTTACACTCTGAAGCATGTACATCTTAAATGAGGATGAATCACTTCAAATGAGAATGTGTAGCTTTCCCTTAACAATGACTTACAATATGTTTTTTATTTAAAATCCAGTATATTTAAACACAGAATCAGAGAGTATGCAGAGTTGGGAGGGACCCACAAAGACCATCAAACCAACTCCTAGACCTGCACAAAAATCCCACTCTGTGCCCAAGAGCATGGTCCAAATGCTGCCTGAGTTCTCGCAACCTTGGAGCTGTGACCACTGCCCTGGTGAGCCTGACCATTCTCTGGGGGAAAAACCTTCCCGTAATGCCAAACCTAAACCTCCTGACTCAGCTCCAACCATTCCTTCAGGTTCTGTTACTGAGCACCAGAGAGATGAGATCAGTGTCTGTCCCTCTTCCCCTCACAAAGAAATTGTAGACTGTGATTAGTGTCCCCTCCAACTCTTCTTCAGGTTGAACAAACCAAATGACCTCTGCTGCTCCTCATACAGCTTCCCCACAAGGCCCTTCACCATCTTCACTGCCCTCCTTAGGATGCTGTCTAATAGCTTCATGTCTTGTATATATAAACCTATTATTCCTTTCCATCAATGCATATACTTAACTATGCTTGCAGCAAGAACAGCCAAGAAGAAGGAATTTGGAGATTTATTTTTTTAACCTTGGGTAGACCTTTCTTGGCACTGCTGGCAGAATAGACATTCCCTGGAGTTTTTGGACAAATTACTGGATACGTGAGGCTACACTGCATACAGTTCTAGGCTCCCCTGTATAAGAAAGATGGGGACTTAAAGGAGGGAGTCTAGCACATGGCTACAAAAGTATTAAGGACCTGAAGCATCTGTCATGTGAGAAGAGGCTAACTTTTTAGCCTGGACAAGAGAAAGCTCGGGTAATTTTATCTATGTGCATTAATTCTTGATAGGCTGTAATGAAGAGGAGGGAGCCAGCCTCATAGTACCCATTAACAAGACAAGAAGCAGTGGGGACAAATTAAAATACACAACATTCCACTGGAACACAACTTATTTTTTTACTGTGAGGGCTGTCATATGGTGGCAGAGGTGGTGGAGTCTCCATTTGACACTCAAAACTCAACAGGTAGTGGTCTTGAATAACCTGCTCTAGCTAAGCCTACTTGGTGTAGGTGGGTTGTGCTCCATGATTTCAAGAGGTATCTTCAAACCTCAATTAATCTATTAAGTAATTTCCAATTTCACTCCAAAATGTCCTTGCCTGTGTCTGGTATCTTTCATATCTCATCTGAATTTACTGGATGGTACAAATACTATCATCAGGTATAAGCTCTGCAATCCTTATTTATTGGGTAAGCTAGCTGGAAAATCTTTACAGTTCTGTAAAGAAACCATTTAGTCTCTATAAATTACTGACTTTCCTCCAGGAAGAGTCATAATGCAACATCTTTGGTAAGTTTTTGACATATGTAAGACCTTATTTTTGACTGTCCTATGCAACATTATACATACTACAACTTCTTTGACGTTTCTGCCTGGTATAGTTCAGGGTAATCATAAACAAAAGTTGGTAATCATAAACAGAATCACCCAAGGCAGTTTTAATTAGGAAGCAAGAAAGATGGTTTTGAGCAAAAGCACAGTTATCTTTACCCATTTTACCTGCGACAAAATTCTTGGATGTGCTTTTTCATAGAGCTGAGGAAGGAAACCGAAGTTATTTCTAAACGCTGTTTTATTTGATGTGATGCAAGAA